ATAACGAGTCTGGATTTCAAAACAGTTACTATTTAATTCTCGAAAGGGAGTTTATAATTATCATACTTTAATTAATAAGTGGGAACTTAGAAATGCTGTATGTTCAGAGAATGAATTCCAAGCACTTACCATTCATTGCTTACGTGGAATGTAATCCCATGGCTGGCTATACAGGGTGACATTGAAATTTGAGAAACAAAAGGAAACACCAAAACATCCAGACAGGGTTCTAATAACAATAAACAAAGCAAACAAACAAAATAACAACACAACGGCCCGAACAATATTCATTAATTTATTTACACGCGACAGCGTACCGAGATTCAGGGAATGCGCGATCCATAGCAAAATTTGGAAAAAAACTGTATCCATTATTAAATTGAATTAATTAGCCCGAGACTCTAAAACTAAGTCGACTGCTCAATGTGGAACCTAAGGAAGAACTGACTTTTTCTCGTAGACCTCTCCTGAATTCGACCCGCCCATTTCTTGGGTCCAGAAGTTTCTGTACGTGACTTACAAGTAACCCTAGCCTTCCTCTAGCGACTCCGTGTAGCAATTACGGGGCGGATTAGTCAATCTCATTTAATATCTTCTTAATAGCTTGGAAAATCCGCCGAAAAAACCAGCTAATTTATATCCTTTTCTTTTTCAATTATTATCAGTTTAACAATATAATTTAATTCTACTTTGGAACCTTTACGCTCTTCTCGTGGTTTCGCGCGTTATTAAAAATTTTTCTCTTCTACTAGACGCTTAACACATGGCTCCGACAGTTTAAGTGAACTTGTTAAAAATATTGGTAAATTTTTCCTAAGGACGACGCTACCTACTTGAAAGCCCTCAACTTTCGATAGTTTGTGTTGACTGAAATATTTTAGTTGGCCCATCCGTTCCGAGAACTAATAAATAAATGACTACGCGTCCCGGCTTTTGTTTCACTGTCGCAACTTTTTGAAAAAAAATTTTTTTTTCACCTTTTACACGAATTATAAACAACAGGAGAAAATGGTAATTTATGGCTTTTTAGAAAATTGACAGTTAAATTAGAAGGATTCACGAAATGACTAACGTTAAGCATGACTTTTACAGTTCGATATACCCAGAAGAACTCTGTGAAGTTTCATTTCGATCTAGCGAAGTCGTTTGGCTGTTTGAAACAAAGAAACGGTTCGCTAGGTCGCGATGAAAATTCACAGGGATCTTCTGGGTATATCCAACTGTAAAAGTCATGCTTAACATTAGTCATTTCGTAAATATTTCTAATTTAGCAGTCAATTTTCTAAAAAACCATAAAATACCCTTTTTTCCTGCTTTTTAAAATTCGTGTAAAAGATGAAAAAAATATTTTGGAAAAGTTGCGGCAGCATGTTATAAGAAATTTATTCTAGTTTTCGAGACTGCCCTTCAATTCTCTGTACGACCATTTGTCGCCGAGATATCGACGATTGAAGACAAAAGGATCCTTTTCCATTAAAAGTCCCTTATTTCGATGAAAAATGGTCGTATCAAAATTAAAAAAAAGGGAAATTGGAGCTGAATAAACAAGTTATCTGGTCCATGCAATGGCTTAGCTGAAAAAATTTTTTCCAAGTCCGTGGACTCAAAACAAAGAAAAAAAATTGCAAAATTTCGACCGAAAGATTTAAAAACTAGAATTTTAGAGCTTCAAAATGCTTTTATTTAATTCCTGATACGACCATTTTTGACCTAAATACAGCCTGTCAAAAATCACGGAAAAAATTAGGAAATCCTTTAATTTTTTGCATCAGGGTAGACAGGAGTAATTTGTAATTTTTAGTAATCTAGTGTCTAGTAGAGTAATCACTGGTATGCTCGACATCGACAACCCTAGTAGTATCATCAGTTACATTTAATAAGGCTGTAGCACAATTATAGGTCGAAATGCTGATTGGACTATTAGCAATATATGATATTATTTCAAATGCAGAAGAATTTGTATATTTGTAACTTTTTTAGAAATTTAGAGACTGAAGACAGTATACTACTCGGTCTCCAGTCACTAAAAGTTTTTGCGTTAGTTTTTGACCTCCGAATTCTTTGAAACTGCATGGATTTGCATGAAAATTTAGAATAAGGCTCATCTTAGGCTTTTGTTTTTTTAGGGGTAAAAACTACCCCTAAGTGAAAAAAAAATTGAAAAAATTAAGTTTTAAGCATTTTATTTATAATAATCTTGTTCAAGCACAAAGATTAAATAATGTTTCATATTCTCGAACATGTTTTATGATAAATTTGATTTTTTCGACCCTTTATTTAACCCTTAAAAACTACCCCTATGCAAAAAATAATTATAAAAAATTACTTTTTAAAGACTTGGAATGATTAAACAGTTTTTTGAAAAAATAACTTCCACCACCAGGAAGGGGTGTCAACCCCCAACAGGGTGGAAGCGTCAATCGGCGCTATGTCACTAATATTCATTGACCTTTTCTCTAACTATCTGCCAAATTTCAAGTCGATCGGTTCAGTTTCAAAGAATTCGAAGGTGAAAAGCTTCAATGACTGTACTACATTACCATTACCGTTATCATTATTATTATTACTAAAAACAATGTACAGAAATAAACAATTCCATATCATAGTAACAAATCTACAGTGTGTCCCCAGATGGAGTACCATACTCTTTTAAACTTCTTTATCGTTGATTTATCAAGGAAAAATAAAAAATTTCAAAATAAAGTTTTTCTCTGGAAAAATCTAATTTTTATTATTTTCGGTCACACGAAATGGCTTTAGAAAAAACTGTCACATTGTGTCAACTTGTCAGTTCATAATTTATCATTCCATTTTGAGTTAATTTTATTAGTTAATATTTATTTGTGGTATTCTATAAAATAATAAAAATTAA